GTCGGGTGAAGTCATTGTTGTGTTGTGTGGAGAGGAACCCAACGAATCAGGAGAGCGAAACAACAACGAATCAGCTTTAGCTGTGAGAAACTTCTGGCAGAGCCGGGTACAGGGAGGGCTGGCGTCTGCCTCGACCAGCCGGGGCGAGGTCGAAAGGGAAAAAGAAAAGCATCAGGAAGCGTGTAGACACCTGCAAAGAGGATAAAACTAAGACAATTGTAGCAGAAAAATGCACTGAGATAGACAGAAAGGCCACAAAAAAATGGCGTTCATGCATAACCAGCTGTACGTATGGTAGGAAACACTTGGGCAGCTGTCTGATAGTGAAATAATTGAGCTTCTGGCAACTGAAGTATTGCTGTGTCATCAGATTAGCAAAGATTCTTATCAAAACCGCAAAATTTGACTTCTCTGGAGTCAATCTTCTGCACCTCTCATGTCCAGCTAACCGCCGTGAAAACAAAAAACAGAACGCATCAGCATTCAGACGTGAAACTGCATCGGGAAGAGTTTACAAGACGCCGGCGTAAACTCTCAGCTGAACTATTCTGGGGAGAGACGGCGTGAAGGAGGACAGTGAAGCACAACCCGGTTCTGTTTGAGCGAGCAGACAGTTTGTTTGTCCTGACCTTTCCTCATCCCTGCCTCTCTCTGCTGCTGTCTTTCCTTCACCTTTCCCCTCCTCGTCTGTCTCCTGTCCCATCTCGCTTCTAAACTTCCCTCCTTCCTCCCCCCACGTCGCGCTCGTCTCCTTCCCCATGCCTCCGCCCCCTTCGTTTTCTTTTTCATCTTCATCTCTCGCTGCCTTTTCTCTTCACTTTTCTCTTCTGGTTTGCTACCATTTGTTACCTCCCTTTTTGCTTCCTTCTTCTCTCACACGATCTGTCAGCGATTTAAAAAAAAAAGAAAGAAACACTCATTGAAAGCTCATTAGCTCTACTTGCCTGTTGTTTCATCCCTCCTTCCTTTGTCCTGACCAAACACACCCACACTGCACACATCCGAGCCGGAGCTGCACGGTGACCCGTGTGGCCCGCTCATTCTTCATTCATTAAGGGAAGCCGGTGTTTGGATTGGCATATGGAGAAGCCACTTTAGGCCACTAATGAATCTACAGTCATCATTAACATGCAAATAGCTCTATTAAGAAAACATAGAGTCGGGCGGTTTTGTATTACAACTCGGCGCGTTGAGCCTGTTGGCCGGCTGTCAGAGCAATGAATAAAATTACGTTTTATTTATTAAAAACCCCCCAATGAAAAGATTTAAACTTTCAAAACTCAATAACTCAAATAGTCCATTACCAAAACTAAATAGGCTTCTTCTAACTTGAATGTATTTCCTTATCTCCTCATTCATTTCGTGCTGCGTTTCTCTCTTATCCCTCCTGTTTTTTTTTTTCTCTCAATCAATGTTTTTCCATCCACCTCTTTTTGTAAGCACATTGTAAGAAAATTTAAGAGTTGCTTAGCTTGGCTGAGGCACAAAAGGCACAACCTGTGGAGGAGTGATGGAATGAAACTTCAAACAAGTGGTCCCCATTTGGACTTTCTTCCTCCACCGAACGCTTAAAGAAGCTTTTTTTTGGGGCCAAAATGGTTCAAAACCTCTTTTTTTCGTCTCCTGTCGCAGCTCAGTTTTATCTTTGATGCTACTGTTCTGACGCATAGAAACCATCCACTCGTCCAATCAATCCGTTCGCTCCTTAATTGGAGGAGAGACGTTCCAATTAACTGTCCAAACTGTCACCAATCAGGGCTGATAAGTAGCTCGGTTACCTCATTACTTGTCATCAATAAGGAGATGACAATCTTATCTCCCCCGTGTACATGCGCCGCGTGAATATGAGGATGCAGGTGAGGGGGGGAGGTGTTTTGGAGGTGATGTCCATCGTCATGGTAACGTCTCTCTCTCTTCATTTGCAGACAGCAGCCAGCCGTCGCTCGCCCAGCCCTCCCTGACCCTGCAGAGTTTTCCCTACGGAGGCTGCGAGTCTGTCGAGCTCTCCTACCAGAGCGGTAAGTGCAGCCGATGAGTTGGTCGCTTTGTTGGCAGGCGTCAGTCGGCCGGTTAGGAAGCTGTGTACCCACTCCTTCAATTAGCCAGGCGGTTAGTTAATTAGTTAGGGAAACTAGTAAGGTAGCTGGACAGTGAGTCGGTCAGTTTTTTGGTTACTTAGGTCGCCTGTATTTAAGCCAGATAGTTAGTTAGCTAATTGGATGATTAAGTAGACAGCTGTTCAGTTAGTTGAAACAGCCGGCCTGTGTGGTTTTTAGTTATTTGAGCTTTCATTATGCTCTCCTGCAGATGTTCATACTGCCAGCTGCTGACGTGTAGTTATTGTTGCTATTCGATTCAGTTTTTTTGGTGACTTAGTTCGCCTGTAGTTAAGCCAGACAGTTAATTAGCTAATTGGATGATTAGCTAGGCAGCTATTCAGTTAGCTGAAACAGCCAATTTGTCTGGTTTACACTTATTTAAGCTTTCATTATCCTCCCTTGCAGATGTGCATACCGACAGCTGCAGACATGTAGTTACTTTTACTATTAGGGATGTTTGACAAGGTTTTTTTCCTCCAATATTTAGTACCTGCTCATCCCGAGTCCTAATCCGGTACCAGTTTCTATGATAATATGCACTTCAAATACATTAAAATTACTAAAAATTAATCCAGTGTGTATGCTTGACAAATGAATAGAACTAAAAGCATTCCTGTATCTGCTCCACAAGCCCTAAAAGAATCCTACATGTATGCCAGAACGCATGTTGCAGATTAGCTGTAGTACCTGGTTGCGCCTCCAGGTGGAGACTCTTACAGTTTAACACTGTTGTGACCCAAAGAGGCGACCCCTCAGACTACAGGCGGTTTCCTATTGGCAAGCAGAGACCATTGTAGGAGTTTGGCTAGTAAAAGGGCACCATGACAGCGACATATTTGACACCTAATGTCATTCTACCAGTACCGTTATAACTTAAATAAATGTACACGCTCACCCTTCACAATGAATGTAAACAAAGGACTGGTCTCAGAGTAGAGCCAATGCCAATGATATAGCAACAGCCCAATGCCATTAAGGGCCTCGCCTCCAGTTATTAAGTGGCTCAGAACCATCCCTAGTTAGTATCCTACTTTCCTCATGTGTGGGAGTCTTCTTGGACGACTCCATTCCACACATGTGTGGAAGGTCATATCTATGTATCCCCTGCATGTCCACTAATGCAGACCATGACCACTACTAACCGTGTAGCGTAGTCGCCATGCAGACATAAATTCCAGGCGGCATGCAAATGTCTGTAGAGGGATCGAAGACCCTCATGTATTAACAGATGAGGAAAACCTAACATTGGCTTTAGTCTTCGATGGTCTCACTTCAAGCGACATCATGTGATGCTAAACTAAATTCTGGGTCCATTGCTTCGCTTGCGATGGAAAGAAAAATGTGCTAACTTTGCAAACAGTAGCGCAGGAACCAGCCAATATTGGTGCCAAAACATCAAGTTAATTCGTAAGCACAGACATTTAATGATTTTGCGACAAAGCCGACCTTCTTTTGGTTGTTTGTTAAGCCAAACATACTGTTTATATTAGAATTACCTTATAGTAAGTGTCTATACCAAATTTTAAACTACAGATCTATTCAGAATGTCTCAATAGCTTATGTCACATTAATAAATATAAATAAAAAATGCACATAAAACACGGCCTGTACGGTTTCACAGTTTCAAGATTCTCGAAAAACCACCATTTTCCTTGGTTTGACCCATACTGATAGATCTAAAATCCATCTCCAGGGATGTACAGGTCAACTTTAGATCAAATATTTTTCTTTTTTGTGTGTATTTTAGGTCGCTTTAGGGAAAGCCATCGAATTTCAGGCTAGAAGAATGACGTTTAGGGTGTTTTAACTGCTGTCAAATGTCAAAACGGCTAAAATCTGACCCAAAACAGTATGTAAGGGTTAAATAGTTGGAATAAAAAACAATATATTGGAATGCTAGCTGTGAATTAGTGATAGTTCGCCATGTGGTGAGCGAATAAGCGACAAGAAGTTTGTGGCTTTCTAGATACAAGTTAGTTGTTTGAAAGCGTGGAATCAGAAGTTACGTAGAGGAAAAAGTCACAGTGAATAGGTTCAATCCTTATTTGATTATCTGCAGAAATACATTGTGTAGGAAGATGCTTTGGGGGAAAAAAAAGAGAGAGTTCTTCGCTTGATAAAAGATTTTGCCCGTCTTCCTGTATTGATATGTTCTGTCTTCACAACGATCCCGTTCCTGCAGGTCAGTTCCAGGCCGGCCAGTTTCAACCAGCCATCCGAGTCGCTGACCTCCTCCAACACATCACCCAGATGAAATGTGGACAGGGCTACGGTTTTAAGGAGGAGTACGAGGTGAATGCACACACACACACACACACACACACGGAGGCTTATAATGAGGAATGACAGTAAACAGAAAACATAAATCAATCTTAAGATGGACAACTTTACAAGCAGCTATTAGTGAGAAGGTCAGAGGTGTCCAGCTACACGACCCAGACAATGGGTGTAATCAAGTGTTCCCATGGCCCCGGGATGTACAACTGTTGTTAAAGCAGAATGTGTGAGACTGAAGGATTTTCTTTTATAATTCAAACACGAAGCCACACTGACAAGATGTATCCTCCGCTTCTTGTTATCGGCATGACACAAGGTGCTTCGGCGACCTCCGTGACCTGAGTTTTAGCCGCAGTGCTGCAACATTTCCAAGATTCAAAAGCAATTCTGACTGAAAATGCAGCTTAATTGCAGAGAATATAAACAGTCTTTACAGTAACAAGGGCAAATCTGGAAGTCTCTCACTTCCAGCTGCACGAGTTCGTATTTAGCTGCTAGTTTCGACTGATGTTTCTGTTCCATCAGTTTTAAGATTCAAAATCAAATCAGGTTTATTGTCATGTTGCTGCACGTACAGAGTAGTACAGATGAGAGAGCGTTTCTTCAGGATTATTCAACCAGCGAGTTTTGCAGAATGCACGACTGGGATAAGACACTAAACGTTCGCTGTCGCTGCCTCCTGAAGGGGGCGCTGCGTCCATGCACGCCGCCATTCGTTGAACATGGTGAACCTCTTCAGGTCCTGGTAGGTCTTCACATGATGGTGTGACGATGGTGAAGCTGCAGATGCTGCCCAGAGCTGTCTGTCTGTCTGTCTGCATCCCCTCCAGCTGTCTGTCCGTCTGGGATGCTGTCATGGAGCCATGTTTCTGTTAAAGCAGACACACAGCAGTCCCTCCACTCTCTGAGGGTTTCTCTCAGCAAACGTCCAGCTTGTTGTGGAGGGAGCGGACATTGGAGAGCAGGAGGACGGTCCTGCTGGTCTGGAGGGGCTAGCCTTTAGCCTAGCATGGATCCCGGCTCTCTTCCTCCTCCTTTGTTTACGTTCGTACCGTTTCCTTCTCTCTCGGGTAGCTGCCGGCGTCGTCTCCGATCGGACTCCATGTTGGTGTAGTTCGTCCAAATCACAACCATTCCAGCGCCGTTCACTGTCCTGACGCCCAGCAAAGTCTCCCGGCCGCAAGTTTTGTGGAATGAAAGTCTGGGATAGACAAGACACTCAAAACGTTCGTTGTCTCCCGAAGTGGCCGCTGCGTCAATGCACGCCGCCATCACCACACGAAGTATACAACAGAGAAGTGTTTGAAAAATAAAATAACGCTTGCGTCTCCAGCAGTAAAGCCTGGATGTTAGATTGCTTTACTTTGCAATATTTCCCTGCTCCTGTTGCTACATGTGTGTGAGATCGCGGGATTGGATTCGGTTTTTATGAGAAAGGACGACTTATCAATTATTAAATCTTCACCTCATCAATATTGATGATCAGAAAGGCAAACAGCGTAAATTAAACTTTCTGGCTCTTGTTTCTCTTCTGACTTCTTTCACCAATGACATGTTTTTCTTTCTCCTTGTTCGTTCCTGTGGTGTTTTTCTTCCTCTTTTCCTCCCCAAACCATCGGCTGACCTCTTCGTTCTGCTTTAATCTTCCTTCTGTCCGTTATTCGTGTTTCTTTACTATTTCCATTCTTTCCACTTCCTGTTTGTGTCTCCTTCTCTTCTGTTCCTCCCATCTTCTCTGGCTGTTTTCCATTCAGTCCTCTCTTTTCTACACGAGCTCTTGATTCTTTCATTTGTACCTTCTTCTTCTTCTTCTTCTTCTTCTTCTTCTTCTTCTTCTTCTTCTTCTTCTCCTCTCTGTGCTGGCTGTTTGTTTAGAGCACAGTTTATCACATACAGACGTTTTCAGGATCAGTCTTTGTCGGGGAGGGGAATCATTTTACTCCCAAATCCCCCTCATCCCTTCTCTTTCATTCATTTATTCCTCCGCCGAACCTTTCTTCCTTCATTTACTTTGTCTCTGTCGCCGACAATAAATCTTAGAAAGCGGCGACGGGAGGACTCTGTTTTTTCCTCCGCCCTCCCACGCTCACGCGAATGAATATTTTCTATTACCGACTCGGCGTGCCTGTTGAAAATTGTCCCTCTGTGATACCGTACGTTATATTTTCATTTGCTTCCCGTCATTTTGGTTTAAACCCGCTGATACGTTTCAGGGGAGAGCAAATGTGATTTATTCTCGTATGTCCCTGTGAGAGAGAGAAAGAGGGAAACAGAAAGTGGAGTTTTATTTACAGCGCTGCGAGCCACCACCTGTCACTAACGACGACAGGTACGATCCATACGGCGGAGCCTGCAGGGGGCTGAGGTCGGGATGCTGCGTCCAGGTGGACCGCTGAGCTTGTATGCTGATTGAGTTACAGTCATTTCCAGAGGTTTGCAGATTTTAGGGACACATATGAATCAGCTGCAGCAGTTGCTTTAAAAAAAAAATCAAACCTTTGTGATTGTGGAGGCTTTTTATTCCTATTTTTTCGTCACTGTGGGCTCATTTTTCACTGAAATATAAAATCCTGCATCTTTATGGAAACAGCACGACCACGACTAGACGGAAAGAGAACTTAGGAAGTGTATTATGTGTAGGTTCACACAGGGATGTTATCATAAACCTTGAAAAATGAAAGTTTCTTTAATTAGTATTTTATAGAAAAATGAAGAAACAAGTACCCACAAGTTTTATCAGTAAGATGACTGTCCATACAATAGATATTTTACTGCTTCCATTTTTAATTTGTTTCCTTACTTATATCCTACCTGCTCTGTGTAAACACTGCCTGCAGTTCAGCCCAGTTAAGCTTAAAAAATATTTTTGCCATGTGACTGTTAATCACAGCCCAGTTAGTCATAATGTGACAGTTCTGGTTGGAAATACAGAGTTGTTTGTTTGTCACACTGACCGGTTAGAGGTAAACAGTATATTTTTTGGTGAAGTTTTAAAGGAAACCTGTAGAATAATGTGATGAAACTTAGATTTTGTTGTTTCTAGATAAATAGTTCAAGGATTGTAATCGGCAATAAAGTAGTAACAGCCGATAACGTAATAAATTTGCACTTTAAAAAATGTACAAGGCCAATAACGTAAGAAAAATCCCGAAACGATAATGTAATAGCTTTTGGCAAATAATGTAAGAAGTTATTATGTTATTGGCCGGCTAAAAAATAAAAAATAAAACATTTTTTGCAAATGCAATAACCAGCCAATAACGTAATAAGTTATTATTGGCCAAAAGTTATTATCCGTTCAGGACTTTTATTACGTTTTTGGTCCATTACATTTTAAAAATGGCAAATTTATTACGTTATCGGTGTTACGGCCCAAAGAAGGGACAAACGTATTTACAAAGGGATGCAGGAAACAAAGGTTGGGTCTTTTGAACTGTCATTTTTATTAGTGACTTAGATGATGAAATAATAAAAAAAAAAAAAAAAGAATAAACCCTTAACCACCCCAAAACTAATCAAAGTGGCGACTCACAGGTGGACCCGGCAGGTCGGCCAAACAAAACAAAAGGATGCGGCGCCGGGCCAACCCTATAGAGGACCATCGAAGCCGGTGCCGACACCCGAGCTAAAGGAAGCCCGCAAACTAAGGACGGCCAGTCCCACAAGTAACTCTACCAGTTAACAATAAAACACAATAACTAAAGATGCTCACCTGTAAATACCTAAATATCTACGAAGCCAGTTCCAACAAAAAATAACAATAATGAACTGAGGAAAAGGGTGAAAAACGTGCCCCCAGCACATAACAATCTGCTTCTACAAGGATCACTGGACAGATGAATAGATGCAGATATTTTCTGCTTCTTTCTTAGATAAATGTTGTAATTTTGGCGATTTTTCAAAACAACATTCTTCAAACCTACCAGCAGGTTTTGAGGTTCAGAGGGTTAAAAAGCTGAATCAATGATTGCTCTGTAGGCAGAGGAACAAACGCTGCACGCAAGTCGACATGTCCGCTGTCTTCAGATGTCTTCAGCGTCTAGTCCTGGTGAACAATACTGAGCTAGCTGCAGCCGTTTGATTCGCACGTAGGCTTTCCTCTTCTGTCGATCCGCGTCCTTTAGCCTGCAGCCTTCCAGGGCTTGTAGTAGACTGTATTTGTAGGAGGAATCTAATAAACCCAGGACTTTCTCTTCAGCTCCCTCTGCACATTAAACATACAAAACATGCATTTTCTATGTCTGTCTATGAGGCTTATGTACACAAATGCACGCTGGTGTTTCTTCCGGTCAGATTAGCAGACAGCCGAGCAGACAGCGAGGTGTTTGGCACATGTTACCTCCATGAGCATTTTGACCGAGTGTGTGTGTGTGTGTGTGTGTGTGTGTGTGCAGCCCCATATGCTGTCTTCTTGTCCCTCTCGCTGTGTGCGATATGACCTCCGGTGTTGAAATCCATTAACCCCACTAACACCAACAGCCGCCACACTGTCATCATTTTGCTCCCCGCTGGGATTACACCTTTTTACATTTAAAGCGATATTCCGCCTTGTTTGAAAGCCGGCCAGTTGGACCGGCGAACCGGCCGCCGCGTCCAAACCATTAACGTAATGGAGCCCACACATGACCTCATCGCGGGTAATGCCGGTCAATCGAACTTAATGCGGTTTCCGTGTGATAAACCTGAAGAAAAAATAAAGGCATATGTGGTTTTGTGGAGAGCTGTGATCTATATTTTAAAATGGGAAAATATATATATTTTCCAGTGTCTCCTGTGAGATCAGAAGTTGTTTTTTTTCCTGCAGATATCTGATGTAAAACTTCTTGTAGCGAACACACTCGCTGTGATTCCAACCTTTTTTTTGTAAAATCCTGGTTGTGAGTTTCTAAATAGAATTATTTTATTAAGTTTTACCATTATTGCAGAAAAGCACCCACTCACTGGTACTACACAGACAGTGTGTGTGTGTGTGTGTGTGTGTGTGTGTGTGTGGTCCTCCCACTCCACTCTGTGATTATATAGAATATTAATAATTCCAAACAAGCGATGAAATTCAGATAAGAACAGTTTGATTAAGACTGCCTTGGTTTCTTTTTCTTCAGCTTTCAGCCAACCTACACTTTATGCAAATGCGATGGCGTCGATGTGAACATACGCACGCATGCATAACCCTCCTACAGAAGCCTCTTACTTAATACATCCAGCACAAAACAAAACAAAACCGATTCCAGCCTAGTTTTTTTTTTCATATATGCATGCACAGAGAACATCCTCTCACACACACACACACACACACTTTCGGGCCCATATGCCACTTTAAACGAATCCATTTTCTGCTTGACTGAGCGATAAGTTTAGGTGTCTGTTTTTCTGTCACAATGCGTTTGTTTAGCATGTTGCGTGCGCATGTGTGTGTGTGTGTGTGTGTGTGTATGTAGGTCATATCGCTGTCTGTAAGTGAAAGCTGTTGTCTGGTCTTCTTAAGCTCTTAATGGACTCAAAACGGACTGTTCACTTGTCCCTATAGGGAGAAGTGTGTGTGTGTCGGTGTGTGTGTGCGTCGGTGTGTGTGTGTGTGTGTGTGTGTGTGTGTGTGTGTGTGTGTGACCTCGGTGTGTTGTAAGGGTTGTTCTAAAATAGTTCAGTGTCCATATGGCAACCTTTGAGAGTTGGGGTTTGGTTGCTTAGCACAAGCATGAGAGTGATCTTGCACGCACACACACACACACACACACACACACACACACTTCATACGTGCACACACTGGACTTGCACACGTATGCATGCAGGATTACTGCACATGCACACGCATGTTTTTATAGACAAAAGTGACAACGGATGCACCGCGACGCACGTTTTGTCCTTGCTGTGTTTTGTAAGGCTCGTCACACAGGGCCAGCACCACAGCAGGGAGTCCGGACAATCTGTCTTCTCTCCTCCAACAAAGCAGCGACAGACTCTTTCAGACCAAACCAACAGAACAACTGAACCCAAACTTCCTCCTGTAGCGTTTTTACCTGTGCTGCTTTTTGTTGTTTTACTCCACAGCTCTGTTTCATTCCTGTCAAGTTGCTGGTGGTTGCTTTTTAAAAAATAAATAAATCCCAGTGAGTTAACCAGATTATCTCTGCCAATAAAGTTGGAAAGGGGTCATGTTTTCACCCCTGCCTGTTGGTCTGTTGATGAGCATCCCGGGTTTGGCCGGGATCTGCTGAGCGGCTACCTGGCCAAAGTGACCGACCCGATGGGGATTGGTCGATTCCTGCCATGAAAGTATCCGGCCGTAACTTCTCGCCTAACTTTCTGGACGCCCGAGCAGCATTTTGTGCCTTTTTAGTGGGAGTTTAGTTTCAGCCACGATGCGGTTGCAGCCATAAGGGCTAAAGAGTATGTTCTGCTGCAAACTAGCAGTTTTTTCATTCATATTCATGTTAGTGTTTCAACTTCTGCCAACCCATGTGTCAGCGTACAAGCTCTAGGCATCAGACCATATGTGCATGCATATTTCTGTGTTCATACCTTCAGTATAAAACTCTGTGTGTGTGTGTGTGTGTGTGTGTGTGTGTGTGTGTGTGTGCACATGGATGCGTACATGTGTATGTTCAGGCCCTGGCGGAGGGACAGACTGCGCCCTGGGAAACAGCCAAGAAGGACGAGAACCGCAACAAGAATCGCTATGGCAACATCATCGCTTGTGAGTACTGCAATGACGGGAACCGGTACCTCCGCGGCGCTCCGGGTTTCGGATCGGGTCGGCACGGCTTAGTCTAGGTGACGGACTTCAGCTCCCGTCGGTTTGGTTCAGAGTTGGCGTGAGCCGATGTGTTTTTGGACCGGGTTTTATGTGCAGCGTTTCATTTTTAATGCCTGTTTTTCTCAGATCTTCCTTCTGATTCCAGCTTTGTGGCCACATTTTGCGTATCTTCAGCTGCTCTGTATGCATTTCAAGGAGTAGCCAAAGAGAAAGAACACAGCTGGGTATTGATTGAAATAATGGCTAAAGAGGTTTAAAAGCACCAAAAGTTGTCATCAAATGCTCG